TTGAAAGTCGTATGAATCTACTTTTTGTTATTATCACTTCTATCGAACCATAATTGACAAATATTATATTTACTGTGAAATTCAGCATAAATAATATTTAAAATAAAATGTAATTATTAACAAAAAATGCAATTCATTCTTAATAATTTAAAAAATTTTCTTGTTAAATTCTTTGGTAAAACATTAAAAATAAAATAGAAATAATAATTAAAATACAAATGAAAAGCTAAACACCACAATGCAAAATACTAAATAATAATAAAAATAATTAAAATAATAAAAACCAAACAAAAACTCATTTATTTTCTAAAAACAATAAAACATTTCAACAAAAGCCATCAGACCAACATGACAGAAAACAAAGATAAAATTAGTGACAAGGATAAAGAAACGAAAAATGAACCTGAAATGGAAAAGGAACAGGAAAAACAGTCACAGCTGCAACAACTTCAAACACAAACCACACAAAAAGAGCAGCAACATAAAACAGAACAACATGACAGGTAAGTTGTTTAATTTCAAGTCAAAATTTGTTTTAAATTATAAAAAAAGAACTTGGACAACTTGTGTAAATAATTGTTATAAATACCAAGATAAATACAAAATCTTGTTTTAAAATATTTGTATAAAAAATAATCATCTCTACAAGAAATTCTGTAAATTTAACATATTGAACTACAAGACGTATGACTGTTATTTAAAACAATTACATATAACGTATACGTACCACTGAACCGAAATTTGAATTAAATGTATTAATTGTGTGAAGATTATTTTGTAAGCAAACCACGACATTTGCTTTTCAATTATGAATTGTATAGAAAACATAAAACTACAAAAACTCATTCAAAATACATCAAGTTACTCAACCATGATTATACCATTTATTAATTATATCCTGTGTGCACTAACTACATAATATATTACATGGCATAATGACAGTTTAACAACCACAAATTAATCTATAATTAGTAACGTACACATTCCGGATTTTTGTCTTTCTTTCTTTACAATTTTGTCTTAAATTTCAAACTAAAAACCACCAAATACGCAAACATATTTTCATGGCATCAATTTAATGATTTTTAGTCATATGCTTTTTCTATAAAAATCCAGTTTATATTCTCAAACAATTCTAAAATGTAACTTTAGATTGACTCAACAGGATTTTATGCTTTAAGTTAAACTTGTCCTTATAAATATGCATGATTATTTGTTGTCTATGTCTGAGTCCTTTAATAATATGTTGTTATGTCTGCTATACAAATACTAATGGCATGACAACACATTTGCTGACAGGAAGTCATTTGTTACAATTTCTACGCAATATTTTGAAGCAACAAGTTGCTACAAACAATATAAGAAGGACAATAAAATCAAAGGAAAATAAATAAAAATAACAACAAAGCTAGTCATAGTCTAGTCATAGTCTAGTCATAGTCTAGTCATAGTCTAGTCATAGTCTAGTCATAGTCTAGTCATAGTCTAGTCATAGTCTAGTCATAGTCTAGTCATAGTCTAGTCATAGTCTAGTCATAGTCTAGTCATAGTCTAGTCATAGTCTAGTCATAGTCTAGTCATAGTCTAGTCATAGTCTAATAGTCTAGTCATAGTCTAGTCATAGTCTAGTCATAGTCTAGTCATAGTCTAGTCATAGTCTAGTCATAGTCTAGTCATAGTCTAGTCTTAGTCTAGTCATAGTCTAGTCATAGTCTAGTCATAGTCTAGTCATAGTCTAGTCATAGTCTAGTCATAGTCTAGTCATAGTCTAGTCATAGTCTAGTCATAGTCTAGTCTAGTCATAGTCTAGTCATAGTCTAGTCATAGTCTAGTCATAGTCTAGTCATAGTCTAGTCATAGTCTAGTCATAGTCTAGTCATAGTCTAGTCATAGTCTAGTCATAGTCTAGTCATAGTCTAGTCATAGTCTAGTCATAGTCTAGTCATAGTCTAGTCATAGTCTAGTCATAGTCTAGTCATAGTCTAGTCATAGTCTAGTCATAGTCTAGTCATAGTCTAGTCATAGTCTAGTCATAGTCTAGTCATAGTCGAGTCATAGTCGAGTCATAGTCTAGTCATAGTCTAGTCATAGTCTAGTCATAGTCTAGTCATAGTCTAGTCATAGTCTAGTCATAGTCTAGTCATAGTCTAGTCATAGACTAGTCATAGTCTAGTCATAGTCTAGTCATAGTCTAGTCATAGTCTAGTCATAGTCTAGTCATAGTCTAGTCATAGTCTAGTCATAGTCTAGTCATAGTCTAGTCATAGTCTAGTCATAGTCTAGTCATAGTCTAGTCATAGTCTAGTCATAGTCTAGTCATAGTCTAGTCTATAGTCTAGTCTATAGTCTAGTCATAGTCTAGTCATAGTCTAGTCATAGTCTAGTCATAGTCTAGTCTATAGTCTAGTCTATAGTCTAGTCTATAGTCTAGTCATAGTCTAGTCATAGTCTAGTCATAGTCTAGTCATAGTCTAGTCATAGTCTAGTCATAGTCTAGTCATAGTCTGGTCATAGTCTAGTCATAGTCTGGTCATAGTCTAGTCATAGTCTAGTCATAGTCTAGTCATAGTCTAGTTATAGTCTAGTCATAGTCTAGTCATAGTCTAATCATAGTCTAGTCATAGTCTAGTCATAGTCTAGTCTATAGTCTATAGTCTAGTCTATAGTCTAGTCTATAGTCTAGTCTATAGTCTAGTCATAGTCTAGTCATAGTCTAGTCATAGTCTAGTCATAGTCTAGTTATAGTCTAGTCATAGTCTAGTCATAGTCTAGTCATAGTCCTATAACATTTCAGTTTATAGTTTGATAGAACTAAAACATCGACGAAAACGTCAATGACATACATTTTAAATGTTTAATATGACAAGTTTTTGTTACCAAACGCCAAGCATTAATTAGAAGTCTTTACGAATGAATGTGCTGTCATATGAAGTCATAAATTTTCTATCCTTATATCCGTTTAAAGTTATGAAGCTAGTGATTTTCGTTTGCATGTATTGGTTTGGAACAGAAAACATTTTACTAGATTTTACGATTTCCAAAAGTTAAACACCTTTGGTAAAACAGAAATCATGACCTGAAACATGCTCCAAAAATATGCTATAAAATATGTATAAAACGTGCTGCACAATTTAAAAGTTTTACTTTGGTACAAAAATGCGTACATGTAAACAGAAATCTGTAATGACACGAAAAATTAAGTTTTTGTGTTTTATATTGGAAATAAGGTGGCACGTTTTGCTTTTTTGGAAACGACGGCTATTTATTTTGTAAACTCTTACTCCGCATATCTGAAATTGTTCTCGCTGTTTGTAAATAATGTCTTACTATCACCTAAAAATGTTTGTTGTTTCGTTTCTTATGGAATAATTTATTTCAATTAGTGTTTTTAAAGCATATTTTAGTCAATAATTCAAGATGTTTAAGTTATTATATCACATTTAAATTCAACTATTGTATAATCAGAGAAAATAGTGTTTCTAGTCAAGTTCACAATATCGTTTATAGTTTAGTTCAGAGTCTCTATCTAATAATATTTAATAACGAAGTTCGTAATATATCATTTAAGTCTTTAACGAACTAAGCTAATTTACTTAAGTTTAAAGCAAACGTAATAAAATTTTTCAAGTAATTTTTTTATACCCACCATCAAAAAAGATGGGGGGTATATTGTTTTTGTCATTCCGTTTGTAACACATTGAAATATTCGTCTAAGACCCATAAAAGTATATATATTCTGGGTCCTTATTAGATTCTAAGACGATCTAGCCATGTCCGTCCGTCTGTCCGTCTGTCTGTCTGTCTGTTGAAAACACGATAGAGTCCAAACGGAAGTAGCTAGCGAGCTGAAATTTTGCACAGATACTTCTAGTTGATGCAGTTTGTTTGGTATTGAAAATGGGCAATATCGGTCTACGATTTCGCCTAGCCCCCATATAAGGCCCCCTTCAGAAAATGACTTTATCGCTCATAACTTGCTAAGGGAAGCATCAATAGCGCTGAAATTCGGCACAAGCATGTTTTACGGGAACACAAATCTCTTCGTAGTATTTTATAAGGATCGGTCCATAATTGACCCTACCCCCATATAAAGTCCCCTTCAGAAAATGACTTTATCGCCCATAACTGGATAAGAGAAGCGTTAATAGCAGTGAAATTCGGCACAAAAATGTTTTATGGAAACATAAATCTCTTCGTAGAATTTTATAAGGATCGGTCCATAATTGACCCTACCCCCCATATAAAGTCCCCTTCAGAAAATGACTTTATCGCCCATAACTGGATAAGAGAAGCGTTAATAGCGGTGAAATTCGGCACAAACATGTTTTATGGGACCATAAATCTCTTTGTAAAATTTTATAAGGATAGGCCCATAATTGACCCTACCCCCCATATAAAGTCCCCTTCAGAAAATGACTTTATCGCCCATAACTGGCTAAGAGAAGCATCAATTGCGGTGAAATTCGGCACAAACATGTTTTTTGGGAACATAAATCTCTTTGTAAAATTTTATGAGGATAGGCCCATAATTGACCCTACCCCCCATATAAAGTCCCCTTCAGAAAATGACTTTATGGCCCATAACTGGCTAAAAGAAGCATCAATAGAGGTGAAATTCGGTAAAAACATGTTTTATGGGAACATAAATCTCTTTGTAAAATTTTATAAGGATAGGCCCATAATTGACCCTACCCCCCATATAAAGTCCCCTTCAGAAAATGACTTTATCGCCCATAACTGACTAAGAAAAGCATCAATTGCGGTGAAATTTGGCACAAACATGTGTATTGAGAACTTAAATCTCTTTGTAAAATTTTATAAGGATAGGCCCATAATTGAACCTAACCCCCATATAAAGTCCCCTTCAGAAAATGACTTTATCGCCCACAACTGGCTAAGAGAACCATCAATAGCGGTGAAGTTCGGCACAAACAAGTTTTATGGGAACCTAAATCTCTTTGTAAAATTTTATAAGGATAGGCCCATAATTGACCCTACCGCCCATAAAAAGTCCCCGTCAGAAAATGACTTTATCGCACATAACGGGCTAAGGAAAGCATGAAATTCGGCACAAACATGTTTTATAAGAATTTAGATCTCTTCGTAAAATTTTATAAGGATCGGTTCATAATCCCCCATATAAGGTCCCCTTCAGAAAATGACTTTAAGGCTTATTACTGATTCAAAAATGTGAGTACAGAAGTAAAATTTTACATAAATAAGTTTTGTCCAAGCCAAAAGTTCTTTATCAAATTTTATTAGGATCGGTCGTTAATTAACCCTATCCCACTTGCAAAGTCCCCTTCAGAAAATGACTTTAAAGCTCATTACTAGCTTAAAACTGCGAGTACATCGATGAATTTCGACATAAACAATTCTCGTATTAGCTAAAATCTCCCACTAAATTTTATGAGGATCAGTCTGTAATTGACCCTACCCCCTATAAGGTCCCCTTCAGATAATGACTTTAACGCTCATTACTGACTCAAAAATGCGATTACAG